CCACTCTAGCTTCCTGTCTCGTAAATTGGATAACAGAGATAGCACCCACTTCTTTTATTTTCCATTCCCATCATCCTAACTTCCCATCTCATAAATATTGCATAATAGAGAAGGCTATTGTCTCTCATATGTTTACTACTAAATTTGACAAGTTCACAAATGTTTTTTTTCTTTGCAAGGTATACTGTCACAATAAATATAAAAACATATAACATGAAAACATATATATTTATTATACTTTATAAGACGAGTCAGTGACGATCATTGCCACATTTATGTTAAACAATGTTCAAATTTTCTGTAATGTCTCTCATGTCTTATGTGTCACAATATAGAAACCTATAATAGAAACATGTATTTTTCGTTCTAATTTATACAATGATGAACATCACAATATATACAATGGAAGAACTAGTACTGTTGGATGGTATGTTATCTTGCACACTTAAAATTTGTAAGTATACCAAATCAACTCTTCTGCAGGTAGTCAATGAGTTGTACGAATGTTATGTATCAGCAATTCATCAGGTCACATATGAATCAGAGTATTACTTGCACACTTAAAATTTGTAGAACCAAGAATCCATTATTTCTCGGATCACTGTTCATTTAAGAGCGAGACTACCTTTTTGTGTTCGGTTCGATCTTAACAGACCCACAGTGATACCGGTGGTCGCTGCCAGACGTCTTGCTAAGCACATTGATGAATCTATACTGACACCAGTGCACTCAAACGCCACGCTTACATAGTCATGGTTAGCTAGAGCATTTGGTAGAGCAGTCTTGATGTTGATGCGCCGCAGAGACAGCCGAGGATGACGAAGACAACATCATGTAGTAGTTATGTGCCAAGGCCTTCCCCCGTCGACGCAACACATCATGGAGTCAATGTCACCACTCACAAACTCCTGATTATATATTGTTAGCCTTATTTAGTGAGTTAAAAACTTCTTTTTTTTTAACGGTGAGTTAAGACATTTTGCTTGTTAGCAAGTTAAGTGATCCCTTCTTATTTGAGTACCTTGCAGATAAAAATATAAATGGAAAATGTTTTGATGATTAATGACCATTGTTCTTTATTTTCTATTCTGCACTTCCCTCTTATTATATATACAAGAAGAGACGTGAGTCTCGCTTGCATATGTATAAAAGTTTTTATCCGACAAAAATTTCAAGATGAAAGGATAACACTTATTACAAACTATGACATAGATCAATACAAAGGTCGTTACTTATTACAAACTATGACATAGATCAATACAAAGGTCGTTTTATAATCTTTCATTATTATGCAATATTTTTATTCAGAGTTACCTCTATACTAGTAACATCGAGCATTTCGACTTATTACAAAAATTACTCTGAGTTCACATCGAAGATGACATCAGAACGTTGTTCAATTTATTGTAAAAATTCCATGGAAGAGAATGGCTAATGTTCAAACCATTGCAAAATCTTTTACCTCCACCGAAGAGAAAGTGCCAACAAGAAAACCAATGGTAAAATTGATTCTCATAGTTATCGGGTTTTCATAATATCACTCCTAGCACTAAATAACTCATGATAGTTCACATGAGTGGAGACTATTTTTTAATTAATAAGAGTGGAAATTAGTTTTAAGATATTGCTTTTCAAATCGCGATGAAAATTAATCAACTATGCTGGAGAAATATTAATACAAATTAAAAAATAATGTAAACATATTTGGTTTCCTCCAAAATCTCATTTGTACACTATAATTCTTCAAAATAGTTAAACTATCGAAAAGAAAGATACTTAACCAATGATACCAATGATAGCTGAGTTCTGTGTTTGATCATATCTCATGAATCTATTTTATATACAAATCTCGCACAATAGGCATGACCGTTTCTTCGTATGAATTTTATATACAAATCTCACACAGTAGGCATGACCGTTTCTTCATATGAATAGAAAAGCATTGTCACGGATGATACATGGACACTAATGGGTTTGGGAGCTGAATACTGAATCAGCCCCATGGTATCAATTAAAAAAAAACACCGTCGCCCAGTACTGACTGCTTGGAACTTATTGGAACTTATTGGTACGTGATCCCCGCAGCCACCAGAGGAGGCCACGACATATGTTGGGGATTCGATCGAAAGACCTGATTTGGGGATTACGTGGTTGCTTGGAGAGAATCATAGACCCAGAGCACAATTTGCAGTAACGAGAATATGGCATCTTCACGAGCACTAGCTGCATTCTTTTGCCCAGCTCCAGCGGGAGGTTAAACACGAACACGGCGCCAGACTTGACACACTCTCCTGAACTAGCCATGTAATGGCGATCGAGGCCCATCAAGGCATCGAGCATCCTCACCGTAGAGGCATACGACTTCTCTTGTTGCTAGATGCTCCGTTCTTGCTGCTCTACCTAGCCTGCTTCAAATACTCCCTCAGTTGACACCACTGATTTTTAAAGATATGTTGAACATTCGTCTTATTTAAAAATATATGTAATTATTATTTATTTTAATCATGATTTGATTTAATTATCGTCAAATGTTCTTTAAGCTTGACTTAAAATATTTTATATTTACACAAAAATTTTGAATAAGACGAATGGTCAAACGTTTGTCAAAAAGTCAATGATGTCATATATTAAAAAATGGAGGTAGTATCTCGGAATGCTAACCTCAGCTAGAGCGTCGGAAGCTCCAGCAAAGATGTTACATGTCTGCCACTCAGTCACTCCGCTGCTCCGGTGTCCTGCCGACTACCATGTCCACTCACCGTTGTCATGATAGAAGTACAAAAACATTTTTTCCAGGCGACCAACAAGAGATTTTCACGTGTGGGTCTTCGGCCTGTCTACCCGGAAGTGTGTGCGAAAATTGCAATTTTCCATGCGGATGCTTACGCCGTCTGCACCCAAAAACAAAAATCCAAAAAAAAATCACAAAAAAATCAAAATACCCGCTGACGCGCACTAGTCGGCCGCTGTCGTCAGCCTGCCGCCGCTGCTGCCAAAATCTACATGGGTTCGGGTGGGGAATGGTCGCCGTCATCAGATCCATGTGGGGATGGCCGCCACTCCTCGCCACCTTCGACTCACGCCGCCCCACACCGCATCCGTCGCCCGGCCGACTGCCACCCGTTGTCACGCGCCCACCAAACACTGTCGCCCACCGCCATGCGTCTGTCGGTCAACCGCTGCCACCCGAGAGGGTAATCGAGGGAGAGAGAGTAGAGAAAGTTCTCTCCAGGGAGAGAGTTGAGTTTGAGAGAGTGAGAGGAGTATGAGGAGATGAGACGAGAGAGAGGAGAGGAAATAAGAAAGACTTGAAAATTTTGAAGTGCTAATAGGGAAGAGGACATAACTCAAACTTCTGGGTGGACCTTCAAGAGGCCCACCTATGAAAATATATTTTCCCATGCGGCCGCTTAAGACGCCAGTCTGGAAAAATAGTCCTATTTTGCATATGGCTCCTTAAGAGGTCCGTCTGTGAAAATAAATTTTTGTATGCGAATCTCTTAAGGAGCCGTATGCAAAAATATAGGTCGATTTTTGCAGATGTGGACACTTATGATCCGCCTGCAACTTATTGGGGTGCTCGTCCAGGAAAACTATTTGTGTAGTAATGTGAAGGAGGTCTCCGGTGTTCTTGATGGGTGGGACCAAGTGATGTGGATCGTCTTTTCCCAAATAAGTGCTCCCATGTATTGTAAAATCTAGGGTTCTCTATTAATTAGGGGGATTCCTATTAATGTGTATATGTGCTAGCAAGAAGTACTGGATACCTTATCCAATCGCCTTTTCCTTTCCTTGTTCAAAACTTTCAACTCAGATTTAAAAAAATAAAGTTAAAATTTAAAAAAATCAACATATATTTCATAACTTTCAACATAGATTTAGAAACATTTAACTCAGATTTGAAAACTTTCAATTCCATCATTGAAAAACTTCAACTCAAATTTAAAACTTCCATCTCACGATTCAAAACATTCAACTCAAATTTAAAAAACTTTCAATTCAGAATTCAAAACATTAAAATGAAATTTTAAGAAAACTTTCAAGTGAAAATTCAAGTTGAAAGTTTTCAATAAAAGGTTTTGAATTTTGAGGCAGATAATTTAAATTCTTAAGTATAGTAAACAATTCAATATAAAGAAATTATGTGCATGGGCTCGCTCCAGCAATACAGCTGGCACATTTGTATCGAATATGTTTCTCTGTTAATTAGGCTGTTACCATTCACATTCGAAAAGGCTAGCAGGCGATTGATTGCCTGGAGCGATCAGCCCCCCTCCTCCACATGGTTTCCTTTTTTGGCACCGCATTACTTTTCTATTTTAGTAAAGTTTACACATCTAAAGTTTAGAGACCCAAAGTTTATAAGTCAAAAGTTTATAACATGCATATTTAAAGCAGTCAGCAAATGGCAAAAATACAGCATTCGATTGCACTTTGCAATCATCTCCTAATCCCCAACCTCAACATGTTTTCTTCTGTTTCCACCAATGCAGGACAAGATCACATGCAGTCACTATTACAACTGCAAGTTAGTGACGGTACCTTATCTCATCCATTCAATTTTTTTTAACGAACGGTTTAGATTGAGTGCTATAGTACCAATACTATTGTGTGTGTGTGTGTATATATATTCTCATTTTTTTTGCAAACAATGCCTTCAGCAATCACAATCGTTGGATATGATCTGGATAGCCCTAGCTAGTGACTGCTTAAGTTGCAGTTACACTAAAAACTGCTCAGGAACCGAATCCGAACTCACTACTTTACCACCACCCTCACTCCCAAAAGGGCCCATCAGAATTCAGAAAGCCAAAAACCCAATAGAAACCCAACCAGCAACGTATAACTTGATGTTTAATAGACAGTATACTTAAACATTGAGTTTTCTTCACCATGTGCCCAATGTCTGGTCTCCCCTAAATTTATCAATCCTTAGTTAGATAACATAATGATTCAATCGACAAAAGATAAATAAAATAAATAGTATAAATCAGGTGGCATAAAACAAATTATTTTATTTTATTTATTTGGAATGAATGAGAATATATCCATTATCCTCTTCAACTCTTCCATTCTTATACAAAATAATTTTTCTATTAGGTATGAATCGTAAGATGCTTCAACCAGTATGATTAAAGCCAAGCTTCTTCCTTCTCTCTACTTTTTCATTCTCATATATAATAACTTTTCTCACAAAATTATGATCTATAGTAATAAGAATAAGAATATCATTAGAAATGTGGAATGCAAGCCAAAATCACCCATCTACATTAATGATCATGTTCGAACAGTATAACTTAATAGAAGATCAACACCATTCATCCATCATTTGAGAGGTGTTTCACGTCTTCAAAACCTGTTTCCATAAACATATTTAATGTAAGAATCCATTTAAGAATCGTATTAAAAAATAAACGGTTGGTTTAATATAATAATTGAAATAATCTCAAATTATGCTACCCACATATTGGTAAATAAGATAGCAATATTTGCTTCTCCCCAAGATCTCATCACCGAAAATTTTTTGGGCATTCATACCCAGAGTGAGATATTTATATGCACAAATATCACAGCATTGACATGAGCATCTCTTCTAAAAATAAAATGTGAATTCAAGGGCATTGGCATGGATTGGGCTACTATAAGGAACCAATCCAATGGTAATATATATGGCACTGACTGCAGTATATATATAGATATCTTGAGAGTGTACTGCAACACCCAAATTAATTAAGCACAAATCTGGGATTGACTTTCGTCCAGCACTTTAACATGAAGTTCATAAACTAAAACTTTTATCACAAAAACAATAAAAAAATGCTTCATATTGCTCATCCGGTGCCATTGTAAGCTAGCCCAGCCCATTGCAGTTTGGCCAAAGCTCCAGCTTGTGTGAAAAAAAAAAGAACAGACAGAAAACGACAGGAGCATCGAATATTTTTTTCCCGTGTAGCAAGATCTTTTTGGTTTATCGTATGACTATCACTATGTAGCATATGGCTATCGAAGTGTAACAAAAAGAAATATAAGGGGTAGTAGTGTGCTTATGTGATTTTTAAGCGAGCTATTTATGTGGAAACTTTCACATTGAGGGCATGAGCTTCACACTTCAAGTGGTTAGATTCATAGGATATTAACATGGAGAACAGATTAGTCGACTGGTGAATTTTGAATCAGTTCCATGATATGCATGCAAGAAGCACCGCTGCTGACTAGTGCCCGAGTTTAGTATTTTCTCCATTTAACAGCATTGGTAGGGCCCAGACAGCAAGTGGGCCCACAACACAATCAAAAAGTAAGAGTAATACAGGATTAGCTAAATTGAATTAAAAACCACATAGGAAATAGTCATCATGGAAATCATCTTCCAGTACCCTACAAGCAAGCAACACAGTCTTCATGAACCCAAGCAGAATACTCACAACAACAGGCAAATATTTCTTTTGTCCATGCCATTCAGCAATCAGCAGGCACAAGATGAGCAAAATCCATCACTCCATTGCATTTTTTTCCTGTCATCTACACTGCCCCAATCCGGTTTTGGTTTGCTTCCATTACACCAATGCAGAGCTAGAACTATACATACACAATTACACACACCTGTGAGCTGAAACACAATGTGCAATGGCTGCCTACTGCTGCTGTTTCTGAAACTCTTCTTCACTTTCACTGTCACCCTCATTCCCAAATGGACACATCAGAAAGAAAAAAAAAACAAGAGAAACCCAACAAGCAGAGTGGTGTATATAATGGTGTTGGAGTTTGAGCTTCTCTGTTGCTGTACTGTTTTCTCACTAGTGTGCATACTGCATATTCTGCGTTCTTTTCAGGCTAGTAGGATTAGATTCTACTCGTTTTCCGTTAGCACGCTTTTCAAACTACTAAACGGTGCATTTTTCTGCAAAAAGTTTCTATACGAAAGTTGCTTAAAAAAATCATATTAGTCCATTTTTGAAAAAAAATTAGTAGATACTTAATTAATCATGTGCTAATGGATCGCTCCGTTTTCCGTGAACACTATTGAGGGTGGGGAGAATCTGAAAAGAATATAGATGCCAAAGCAATTGGCACTGGACCAGCACTACTCACCCCGCCATTGCACTCACTGTTTGTGCATTAGTAGCAGCAGTATTTATAGCAGAATTGAATGTACAATTTGATTAAGAGAGAAGGAATCGTTCTCTCCGGTACATAAATGTACGAGGTAAATCTGTAACTCTTCCAAGCATGAGTATAATTTTATATAAATTATGATTGGTCCGAAGCAATAGGGCTTAAACTTCTCCTATTGTGGGTGCGTATGTATCTCTCTAGGGCATGTTGCTGCGTCACGCATTGCTTGCGCTGTGTGTGCCTCTCTTTGTGTTCTCCTCAGGTGCCTGGGGATCGATGCCTTTTTAGGCTGCGACAATAACAACGGGTTCGACTAATCCTCCTATAATTCCAGTCAAGATAACGCGTTTATATGTTGAAATGATCCTCCACTCTCTGGATAAAATCTTATGAATTTTAATATGAAAACACAGGTGGTGGCCTCACACGATGCATGTATCTTATTTGTAGGTTCATCTCGATGACAGGGGTGATCATGTTATTAATCACGCAAGTAATAACATTGGTAATCAACCAGCATGGCCTATTAGTTGATCCCTCTTCTCGTATATGTTCTTTGCATCATTATTTTTTACTTGAAATATCTAACAAACAAGTCTAATACTAATAATACCATCTATTATTTGATAATCCGGAGCCCACATGTCACTGTGCCATGCATTTATTCTGAACTGTAAATATTATTTTGCCTATGAAAATAATGCCAAGCAATTTTAGTAATATTTAATCAAATGGATTTATTTATACGAAAATTTATCGAATAATCAAATTGTGAAATGTTAAGACTTCATCAAAGACAAGACATATGCAACGAGTTATACAATGATTACAAATAGTTCTTTCCTATAAATATTCATCGATACCCTAAACTTTGCAGGATATATTTTTTAGCTTTCACCATAAAAGGTGACCTATAATAATTCCGCAACTCCACTCTAATTACACTCCGCAGCTCTAATCTGATTACACCACCGGTAAACTCTGAATGCTAAGTCACAGACAAAATCCTTGTTTGCACCCGCTATTTTTTATGAAGAGTTTCTATTCCAATAGTGAGTTGATTCATCCAAATGTATTTGGTTTTCTCCAAAATCTCACAAAGTAGCCGCTTCACCATATTGATAGTGAGTTGATTCATCCAAGTGTATTTGTTTTTCTCTAAAATCTCACAAGTAGCCGCTTCACCATCTTACCTAATGACTATCTACCTCTAATTCTCAAATGTAAAACGCAGCAAAATTAATATCAAACAATAATTTACATGGAGTACCTCTTGGTGTGATTTTTCTGATTCTAAAGAAAGCTATTTATATAGAAATGTCACAGTTAGTGCATGAGCTTCTCTCCAATCATGTTAGACAGGTAGCTTAAGAACCAGCTCCATGATATGCATGCAACAAGCTAGGACTCTCCAAACGGTAATGTTTTTGTTTCCTGTATTGCAGCCCATGTACAAAACAAGGTCCAACCGTGGAGCTTACCGACTCAACCTTGGAGTACTTTGGAAACAAAAATTGGCAACAAACTGTCCTTCACTCATATTTCCAATGAAAACAAATTAAAGAACTTCCCAAACAAGCGTGTTGTGGTAAATAAGCTGATTAAACTTTTTTTGGTTACACGGTAGACATAGACGCGCACACAACACTGCACAAGCAACACCACACTCACACACTCGCGAATGCGCCTCCTAACGCATGCTCAACACGATGGAAACCAATAGTATATCCCTGATCTCACTAAAAATCGTATTAAAAGTCCACCAGGATTTACGTCATTATGTGCGTAAGAAAACTGTATGAAATTCATCGTTGCGTGAATAAGCGTGGAAGGTGGAGTTGAAACGCAGTCACAGATTGATCACGATGACAGCAGTCATCAAGCTTTCTCAAGAATCACCCAGCAACCTGTTGTTGCGTCTACGTGTACGTATGAAGAGATTTCGTAACTATGCTACCATGCCAATTGTAACATGTATTTTTAAAATTCTCCCTATAAACCAATTTATTGCATAGGCCCACCCGCCTAAATTCTAACATCTAGGTTCTGTTAGTGGTGGCATCATTAGTGGTGGCATCAAAAATGCTATAAAACAATATGCCTAATCAAACAGACTCATCACAAACATCTCAACAATCATTTCTCATTACAAACGCATATACTTTATCAACTTCCATCTATAGTAATTATGAATTATTTTGTAACGATCGAGAAGCAAAGTTAGTTTGTTAGTTTGGATACACGGACTAGATCAAGATTGTTGATTTTTATTTACAATGTTGGTAGACTAAAGATTTTCTATATAAATCTAATCAAACATCTCTAACAGATGTTAGAGACTGAAACATATAATTTTGACTATCTAATTGAATAGCTCAATTAATTCTCATAAACTTGGTAACAATGTAAGTTATGGAGTATAAATACATATGCACCATAATTTGTCATCACTCATTCACAACTATGTGTATCTTTACTCCATGTAGTGGGCATCTATCGATAAGAAACCAATCTATTTGAAAAAAAATGAGAAAGTTAAAAAGGTAGAACTTAACAAGAAGAAAAAGAGGGATATCATATTATAGTTAAGAAAAATGTAGCGTTGGATTTTTTTGGAGAGTACATACTACGATTTTAACTTAAGTAAAAAAAAGTTAAATCACTGTATAAGTAATTTATGAGTGTTCAAATATCCTTACCCATATATGAATACATTAATAATATTTAGTTTTCTCCAAAATCTCATCACCACCAGTGCATGTTTATTTTATATATGATTATAGCAGTATTATCATTGTTAACTCTATCTTCTTTAAAAAAGAGTGAAAAGAGTTTGTAAGTGATAGGTCTGGTGTTCTTTTCTAGGATTCCGAAGCAAACTATTTATATAGAAATCTCACATAGAGGGCATGAGCTTTCTCTCTTCAAGTGTTAGTTTTATAACACAATAGCGCAATGGGGATAACAGATTAGGTGGATGACTTATCAATCGTCGTATTTCCTAGATTACCCATGTACGGCTCAAGGCCCACATCTGCAGCTGAGTTCGGCCCAGGATTTTTTAGGGCCCCGACCGAACAGTTGGTCCACAACACATCCTATTTTATTCTCCCAAAAAATAATAAAGTGTCAATATAAAAAAAATCAAGATTCGCCGAAATAAATCCCATATAGAAATTGCGGTTCTACCAGCAACCAGGGTTTGCAATTTCGGAACAGTGTTTTTGCCGGTGGGGACTGAAATCACAGAAATTTCGGTAATTTCGAAAATTTTTGGCCGAAATTTTTTGAATAAATTTTAACCAAATTTATAAATGTTTGGCAAAAACCGAAAATTTTGGGGAGATTTTAACCTTGCCGGTGGGTGTTGAAATTACTGAAGTTTCTTCCGAAATTTCGAACCAAAATTTCAAACCATGCCAGCAACAGTTCTTTCATAAATCCAACCAGAATAGTCACAACAACAGGCAAAATTCCGTTTTGTTGATGCCATTGGATCTGCATTTCAGCAGGCAGCAAATAAGCATGAATCCATTCATTCTGTTGCACTTTGCAATCATCTCCTATTCCCCAACATCAACCAGTTTTCCTCTGCTTCCACCAATTCAGAACAAGAATAACACTGAAAAGTTGCACAATTACACACACCCGTAAGTTGAACGCCAATGTGCAATGGCTGACTGCTACTGCTGCTTCTTAAGCTTTTGTTCACTCTCACTGCCAAACGAGCCCATCAGAGTTCAGAAATTAAAAAATCTTCTGCCGAAAATTAAGAGTAACACAAGATTAGCTAAATTGAATTGAAAACTACATTGGAAATAGTCATCATGGAAATCATCTTCCAATACCCTACAAGCAAGCCAACACGGTCTTCATGAATCGCAGAATACTCAACACAACAGGCAAAACTCCCATTTGTCCATGCCATTCAGTAATTGTCTGTATTTCAGAAATCAGCAGGCATCAGATGAGCAAAATCCATCATTCCATTGCATTTTTTTTCCTATCATCTACGCTGCCCCAATCCTGTTTTCATCTGCTTCCATTACACCAATGAAGAGTTAGAACTATACATACACAATTACACACACCCGTGAGCTGAAACCCAATGTTCAATGACCTACTTCTTTTTCTGAAACTCTTCTTCATTCCCACTCCCAAATGGACCTATCAAACCCAACAAGAAGAGTGGTGTAATGTAATAGTGTTGGAATTTCACTTTCTTTTGCTCCCTTCTGCTCTGCATTTTACCCTTTTTCTCACTCTGCCAAGCGTACTGGCAAAGCAAACAAGACATGCAGAGTCTTCAAGCTTTCAGACAAGCAGCACCGTTTGTGTGCATACTGCATATAGATGCCAAAGCAATTGGCACTGGACCAGCACTACTCACCCTGCCATTGCACTAACCATTTGTGCAGTAGTCGCGGTATGTAGTATTTAGAGCAGAACTGTATTTACAACTACATGATGGGTACAAAAAGAAAATGGAGCTAGTCAGGTTGTGACATGAGTACAATTCATCAGTCCATTAGCCTTGTTTACAACTTTACATTACCTGATTTCAATGCCCCCATGTAGTATTATATGTGGTCATGAATCATGACATTGTGCACAGCATTATGAACTCTGTTTGAGGTATTTCCATAAGACATTAATAACATTTTATGATCTTGAAAACATAATATTTCAGGTGCATGCCGATCAGATTTTCAATCATCCACGGCACATACAATCAAAACGTCACAGTAATAAAATATTCACATTACTACAGTTATAGAAACAATATATCTCGCGATGCAATTGAGCACCTTCGAACCTAACTAAATTATGGTGAGAAGGAAATCTTTTTTTGCCTGACATCTACAATTTTTTTTCAAACCCCAAATTATGCTACAATTGATGGCAAATTCTCTATCCAAACTGACCTTAGTGAGAAAAATTTAC